TGTGTGTGTGTGTGTGTGTGTGTGTGTGTGTGTGTGTGTGTGTGTGTGTGTGTGTGTGTGAGGGAGAGTAAGAGTGTGTGTGTGTTGGGGAAATCTGGCTGGGCCTGTTGATGATGGCAGAGTGATGAGATGGAGCCGTGCTGTGGAGATTAGACCTGTCTGCCCTCAACGTCTCCCACCCACCCGCCACACACACACAGATATACACACAAACACTCAAAGCCACTAGCATTAACACCCCACCCTCTCCACCAACCCACCAAACTACCCCACAATGCCACCTGCTATCTCACCAACACACACACACCACACTCTTACAAACCCACCCCCCACATCCCCATCCTATCCCCACCTATCAACCCTCTGATCATCAGTGCCACGGTGGCAGCCATCAGCGCCACCAACCGTGTGGAGGTCAATGAGGCGGTACCTGTAGTCGCACCAGGGGCAGCGGTACGGTTTCTCCCCGGTGTGAACACGTTTGTGCCGTGATAGGTGGGACTGCGTGGTGGAGGCGAAGTTGCAGAGCTTACATTTGAAGGGCCTCTCTCCTGTGGGCGGAGGGATTGAAAAGATAAGAGACACAGACAAGACAGCAGTGATGAGACCGCAGTGACCCACTAATGTGAGCTAAAACAAACATGCATATATTGAGAGATAGCAGGTAGCAGGATTTATCTGACAATGGGTGTAGGTCCCTCTGGTGCTGCAAAAAAACTTTAATTAATAACTAAATATAAAATGAGGCATGTGTGTGTTAAACTCGACTATACGAAGACTGAACACACGGTTTTGTCAACTGTTGTATGAAAGCTGTAATTTTAAATCAGTTAAACATATAAGCGAAAAGCTCGGGCAGGGTTTGCGTCTGCTGAAGAAAAGCCATTTAAGGATGTAAGTGGAGAAAGTTTTCTTATATTTTTAAGTAAAAGTTGAATAACAATAAAGGCTGGGATTCAAAGAAAAGTCACTTGTATAAAAGCATACAATATAAGGTTAATGGTAAAACTATGTATAAACAAATACTTTACATTTCAACTTCTTCTGTGAGAGTTAAACACATATTTTAGATCCAGCTGAAATGTGTGTTCTGTAAGAAGTGGAAGTATCAGTTGGTTGTAGTGCTGTGTTTTCAACCAAATCAGTTCATCTCTCAGCAAGACCGGAAACTTATGTATGGATTTCAAAAAAATACAATGAGTGAGATTTTGATGGTAATCCAGATAAGGCTTTTTACTGTTTGTACTGTAATTTCCGTAACTGAAGCACGGCCATTAATCTACAGAAATAGCATATGGGCTGCACAGCCAAAAACCTGTAAAGAACTCTGAAAACACACACAGTGTGGTACAAGGATGAGGGTGGCTGGTCTGATGAGACATTTATACAACAGAGACACCTGGATGGTTATTGTTCACCTAGGGAAGAGGTAGAACCTGCATGAACTGTGCTAAGAAGGCAAGTTGACGGAGAAGTGGGACGAAACGTTGGGTCCCCTCATTTAAGTGGACGTCACTTTGTTCCACTTACCTAAACAATGCAAACATACAGCCCTCCTATTAGCAGGATACCAACCTCACTTCACAACTACAAGAGTAAAAGGATCTGCTGCTAACATCTTGGTACCTGATACCCTCAGAGGACTTGTTCAGTCCATGCTATGATTGGTCATATCTGTTCTGGCAGCACCAGTGGGACCTACACAAGACAGGTATCTTTAATGATGTGGGTTATCATGTTTGTCTGGAGTGCAAGAATAAAAAACAAACAAAACAGGTTTTTGTTTTTTTACTCGTAATTAATTTTATTTGTGGCAGTTGTGTATTTTTTATTTTTTTTTTTGTCGTGACATTTAAAGGAACTTTGTTATATCCGCTGTTTCTTTAGTACTGTTTCAGTGACATTTATATATTGAGAATAAGATTAGCCATTCAATTTCCAATTGGAAAAAAAACACAAAACACCTGAACAAAGCTGCTTGAGGAGACTTCAAACACAGAAATATTCATATTAGCACTGGTCGTTAAAAATCTGCACCTGTCAAACTGAGGACAGTCCCTTCATGTGAACCTGTATCGCCACAGATTTGGACATGTGGCTAAATCAGTGGAATTGACACGTGTCAACGTGGCAGAGGAGGACAGAAATTGGCGGTTTTAGGGGGGAAAAATGGCAGCAAAACTGAGGAGCAAACAAAATGAATAATGAAAACCTAAATGAATATTTATAACAGGATTCTTGATCCTTGGACGCCTGCCAGACAACGGCTAAGAACAGTATTTGTTTCACTATCTCAATTTCCCCCCAAAAAAACACTCGTTATTGACAGCCTATCTGAAAAATGCAATTTCCCTAAGCGACAGAATGACATGGTGAAATGATAACTGAAATTAAAAATCTCAGATTCAGTCAGCCACACTGGTACACATGCCTATCACTGACAGCAGCATGTCACACTGATGCGCCTGTGTGTGAGTGTATGTGTGCGACGTGCGACCGAGGGAGGGCAAACGGTTGCCTAAACTACACGGCTGCTCGGATCTCGGTGTCAAACACCTTCTGACATGGTGAAGGCATGAACACGTGGGAATCAGTTTGTGCGACAAGACAAGTTTCCAACATGAGTTCAGGGTGTGTGAGTCGGTGCTTACCTGTGTGTTGGCGTCTGTGTTTGGTGAGGGCATGTCTGGTGCCTCCCGCAAAACCACACAGGTCACATAAATAAGACTTTTCTCCTGCAGAGATAGAGAGTGAGAGAGAAACATAGTGCTTTAGGGATATCAGCGGTTGTGAAAAACAGAGTGGATGAGAAACCAGAATTATACGCAGGGAAAAATATTTTGCTTAATTTGCTTTTGTTTTTGCAGAAATGCTCTCATTCAAACGCAAATCACATTCAAGAGATTAAAAAATGGTTTAAAGATTAATTTCAGTCAATTAAAAATTTGAAGCTGAAGCAATTAAAGAGGTTCAGAACAAAGCCAAGGTTTACCATACCACCTTAAGTGAACATAACATGTACACAGCAAAAAAAGCACTTAAAAGCTCATCTAAATCTGTAAAAGCAGGCATCTGCTGGTAGCTATGGACCTGAGAGTATGAAACACCTGAAACACCCTATAGTATTCTGTGTGTGTATGTGTGTGTGTGTGTGTGTGTGTGGGGGGAGGATAATTAAAGATGTCTTTGAAACTGCTTATTTTTAATTTCTGAAGATGCAGAAGGACATCAAACCTTTACGATCTGTATTTAATATGTGTATTTAGTCTGTTCTGTATCATTCTTTAAGTGAATGCCCATTTTTTTTAAACTTATTTTGATATGCTAGGAATGTGAAGTCACTTAGAATGAAAAAAACAACTGGTTTTACAGCTGGTTTCGTTCACTCGAGCATGTTAATCTACACTGTTGATGAAACTGATCCAGGTTTCAGGTGTTTTCCTTCTGTCTGCCTCAAATCAAGATCAGCATAATTAATCTGTCCTTTAATTATACTTTTAATCGCTTTTAATTTTAATACTGAATTAACACGACTCAAAAAACGATCTAGCTAAACAGTAAATTTGCAGTCTCAATTATCACAGGGTGGTACTAAGTGAAGGGTTGTTGAATTTGATTTATGAAATCCCCTGAGTGGAAAAGTTTGATGCGGGAAAGAAGGAGCAATCCCACTCTCGGTGGAAATGGTAGCCGAGGAGCCACTGAGCAAAATCTGAGAGCTCGAGTTAAGACAAAGAGGAGAGAAAATGGTTCGACAGGGAAAATGTGTGAAGTGGGAGAAAGGCAGAAGGCGAGAAAAGAAGAGACAGACTGAACAGATGAGCAGAGGGTCTAGTTGGCTAACAGATGAGCCAAGCAGAAGTCACAGATCACTAGTGTATATCCATCAGAGCTCTCATAGCTAACTAATTCCTCCAATCAGATGGATCCGTGTAAATATGTCAAATGGGGGACGGGAAATTGCCAGTGTGGTTTATTGACTGTGATAAAATCTGAAAAGCACCGCTGAACATAATTACATACTTGTCAGAGCCATAAAAATTAGCTTTATTATCAATGGGATGGTTTTGTACAACTTCATTTGGGGGCGATGCCTTCCAGATGGGGAGCACAGAGAGCTTTTTTACACTCCTCTTCTCTTCTCTGCATCTGGCTCTGTCATTAACAGCATGATGGTCTTTTCTCTCTCACACTCCCTCTGTCTACCTCTCTCTCTCTTTCTCTGTGACTGCCATTGCACACAGCCAGTCACACACTCCTGCACACACACACACACACACGGCAGAAACATTTGTGATAAGATGCACTCGGGGAAATGCATGCGCGCATCTAGAGAATGGACACAGATGTGTATGCAAATCCTCACACAAATCAAACTGCATGCGGTGTGATATATGTCCATGTTGTGTACCTGCACATGTATGAAAACACTGTGGGCGCCGCGTCGCCCATTTTAGCACACACAGTACGTGCAGCTGAGCTCTCCATCACTTAAATATTCAGCTAAATGCTGATGTTGAACTCCAGCTCTCGCCACATACTGATAACACATTTGGGTGACTCTTCCAGCTGGGCCTCAGTAGTGCTCTGCTCCTCTCCTGCACAGATAGCAGCTTTCACTGAATCCGCAGAGACAAAGCAGCCTCAAGTTTCCTCTATTATACCCATTTAAAGCCACTCGACTGTGAGAAGAGTTTTAATGCAGTGCCACTTAGAGGGGAGAAAAACAGCCTTAAAAAGGTGCATTTGTTCACCAATTCATACAGGTTCACTTTTCAGTCCCTGTGTGGATGGCCTTTAAAGGAGCAATGTTTTCATATAAATGAATGTCCAGTCCGCTTTTTGTTAATGTAGCTACACAAAAAAGAAAACTCTTTGTATCAGGTGAAAAGATTCCTCGAATTTACAAACGCATTATAGAACGATAAGATCTGCAGAGCAAGCTTGCAGGACAAGCTGAATCAAAGTATCGTGGTTCTCTATAACATGGATTCATCATGAATAAACACCGTACGCAACAAGACTACTTTGCTTTGGTCTCTTTAGCATGAGTTTCAGAGTCAAAAAAGAAGGCATTAACCTTCACTTGGACTGTGCAGTGTGCTTTGATGCAAAAAAAAACAAAATCAACAAAAATTCTGTATCAAGCACCACAAACAGGACCCACACAGAACTCTTGAAACATAACCACAGCTGTAATTGTGAAACAAGGTTTTTTCTTCCCCATCTAGCATCCTACTGATTGCAGAAAACCTGGGTTTTCAAGGCCTTTGACTATAATGAATCAATAAATAAATAACACCTATATTCCACGTGTCTTTAAACTCTACATGAGTTACTAAGCATCTCGATCAGACCGTTTCTCCCCATCAGAATAACAGCGTGGGTCCCCTCCTCCGCCCTCTCCATCTCTCATTACACCCAACGCTACAAGACCCCACCACAGAAAAATCTATAGCCATCGATCCCTACGCCCAGCCGCGGTCGCCACAATTATTCTTGAGGAGGAAACGTTGGCGATAAATTACATGTGCGCTTTTCATCTGTTGTTCTGCGGGGTGGAGCACTCCCAGGACCAGGGTGGGGATGGTGAGGTGGGGTAGTAAAAAAAAAAAAAAAGTGACAGGTTGCTATCAACATTGTACATCTGACTGCTAAAAGCAACATAGACCTTTCAGCCACTTTGTAACCTTGAATTGACTGCAAGCATGCATGACTCGGGTTAACCTTTGCCTTTAATAGGTACACTAATGACTCTTATAACATAAAAAAAAATTCACCTTAAAAACATATCTGTATCCTTTACCAATTTAAACTTTGGATCTAGCCTGAATTCATTTGAGACTGTGAACTCTGACCTCATACATCAGTCCTGAAGGCCAGATATACAAAGCTGCAAACAAATACAATTCAAGTCACAGATCACGAACAGCTATGCAACTGAGTGTGCGCAAAATCCACACACTAAAATGTCCTAAAAACACAGCTCCCGCTAATACATTTGCACTCAGAGCCCTTAAACTTTTTTTGGGGGCTATTTGAAAATAGCTATCACTTCGTCTCCTTTGTTCCCATGGTACACCTCAACTCTCCGCCCTTTACTGGAATTAAATACGCCTTATTGCGAGACAATAAAAGAACTTTGAAGTCAAAATATACAACCCTTCTTTGCATGTGTGTGCGGATACATATATATGTGTGCGCCTGTGTGCGTTTTAAATAACCCCGGAGGAGTCTGCATGCAGCTATAATTGCCTCCCTCATTAGTTATGTTTTAGCAGGAGCGGATGGGAGGGCAATTAATTTTACCGCTTAATTTTTGACACGGAATCCGCTGTTGTATTGATGTGCTCGCCATTTTGGGTCTCATTTTTCAGGGAAATTAATTGACAAAGTGTGAAGATTTATCAGCATATCGCCAGATTAAGCGACAAACTGAAGCAATGAGGAAATCAATTGTGGCCCTGTCGCTGTGTCCAGACCTCCTCTATGCACTCCACCACCACCACCACAATGCCCAAGAGCCTGGGAAAAACTGGGTGGGTCGGATTCAGTCCACTTATTTATTTTTTTGAGCCGCTCATTCATCAGCCGTTACAAATGACCCTGGCGGCTGTCGACCACTAGATCCCCCATCCACGCCCTCTACCCCCCTCCCTCGGACTGGTCTGTGAGCAGAGAATGATTAACATAAATAACACACAAATCAGAGAGCAACAGTGAATCCCATTAGAGGCAGGAGAAGGAGCGCAGAGATTTTAACTTTTTTTAAGCTGTCCTTTTAGGGAGCGGGGCTCGGCATGTCACAATCAGCAACTCTATCCATGGGATCCCACTAACTTGATTTTGGTCATCTAGACGTTGCGTTTTCAGTGGGAGAAACCTCACCTGACTGTAGGTTTCCCCAACCTTATAAACAATATATTTGAATAACGGCCAAAATTAGCACCACTGACTAACAATGGTCCATGAAGTCAGTTTCAGGATCATTAATATGCAAATTTTCATGACCAATTATCAGTGGCCATGAGTAACAAGTCTTTCCCTTTTCTCGTATCCATGGGATGACTATTATCTATCAAGCAAATGTTAACGGCTGATATCTTAGAAAAGAAAGCAGTCAGATAAATGATGTACAGGAGGGAAAGGAAGAGTAAGAAGAACAAAAGGAAAAAAATATCGTAGGCGAGTTAAGTACCCATCAACTGACTCATTAGAACCATTGATGACTTTCATGCCAATCACAATTACAAGTTTGCAAGTAGTTAAAGCAAACCCTCATTAATAAGTATTTATTTCTTGTAGTCAGTAGAATGTTTTCACATTAAATCAAGGATATGAGGTTACTGAAGCTGTTGGGAAAACAGTAGGAAAGGTGAAGCTGGTGGTGCAGAGCTGGTGAGTGTGAATGTTTCTATTTTGAAGCATGTGTCTGAAAAACAAGTATTGTAAGATTTAGACTGACTCTGAGATGACCAATGAAGTTTATGTTGAAACTCCAGCCACTTCTCTCTGAGACAGACACAGTGGGCAAAGGCAGTAAACGCAGGCTGAGTGTGAGAAAAAGTTTTTCTGGGGTTAAAATTTGTCATATTTAGTGTAAACGTTGCTGTAGGCTGAGAGAACTCATCCCCCTCTCTGTCCCTAATACCTCCAGAATGCAGGGGTGTGTCTAAAGGTGGTCATTGGGTGTCCACCTCTGAAATTAAGCTTTAGTTACTAAATGTCGAGCAGATTTCAATTGTTAAAATGAAATATACATCTACTAATAAACTATGCTATATTATTATAGTTTAAGATATGCAAAGAAACAACTTTTTCCCCCATGTATCAAATGTTAAACTGAAAACTTGATCGGTCACAGATGCTCTGCTGTTCATCTTATGTCACTCTATTGTACCTTTATGTACCACTGAACATTATATTGGCACATGAAATGCTAACACTCATAAAATAGGGCATAAAATATTTTGTAGCTTCTGAAAAAAGTGGTTAAAAAAATCACCACAAAGCAATATTGAAGTCCAAAATAAGTTAAATAAAAGCAGGATTCTCATTTCAAACCAAGAAACAACAAGTGACAACTGTTGCTAGCACATTTCAACAGTTGGAGCTAGCTAGCAAATAAAGAAGTACCGTCACCTAATTTTAGTTTCTTGTATTATAAGTGTAATAAGGAAATATACAACACTAACTGTCTCACATCCAGTGAAAAATAGTAACTGTTTACACTGATTAGAGATAACTATCAACAGGTAGTCACTACTGCTGCTTTAATGAGTAATATCTAAATGAGGACTGCCGCAGAGTGACTCTTGGTGTGCTGAATTATTGAAAATCCATTTTCAAAAGAGTTCCCTGAAGTTCGGAGAGTGGTAATTCTCTGGTCCTGGTCAGTGTTTAAGAAAACATGCTATTGCTAATCCTAAACTTGTCCTGCTATGCCAAATTATATCTTTTCAGAGGAAGGTTTCAGCATTACTCAAGAATATACATGTTTTTGTCTTTGCATGCCGTTTGATTCCTCAGCCTATGCCCATCCTGCCCATAGTGTTCCAATTTGATGCTCTAAGTGTTATAAACCAATCAAACACACCTGACATAAACCTAGTCAATCAGAACTTGTAACTGTGATGACGTTCTCGATGTAGAGATGCTTTGGTTTCTCTTTCCTCGCGTTGTGACGTTTAATTTTACACTTTTACAACTAATGAGCTACGTATCATTACACTCTGCTCCAGTGCAAACACAGCAGTTAGTCATCGTCCTGCGAGCCTCTACATAACCCAGATGCATGTACTCTAACTCGCACGCCCTCCATTACTGACTGCTCTGTTCCCTGGGCAGATTAGTTCAACTTTTAAATCTCCTACTTATTTTATTAGTATTGCATCTTAGCCCTGTGAAGGAGACGATTTATAACTTTTAAACAGATCACACATATGCAGATAATATTTCAGTGTGTCAGGTTGGCTGCTGGAATGTGATTGCAATGATTGTAAAGCTGTAGCTAGCCGCCCTAACCCAGCACCAATTATAACTGGCAAAGGAGTGTCGGAGGTCACAGCAGAGCAAATTGTGTTAGCTTTTTTTGGGGCGTCGCTAATCAAGTCAGGTCTTGCTGCTGACTAAAATGAGGTTGTTTCAGGTTCAATCTTAATTCTCCTACTTTTATATTTCTTTTTTGGTCACCCGTGATCTTTCAAGTTCCTATATTCA